AACATGGAGGTGGAAACATTATGCTTTGGGGGTGTTTTTCTGCTAAGGGGACAGGACAACTTCACCACATCAAAGGGACGATGGACGGGGCCATGTACCGTCAAATCTTGGGTGAGAACCGCCTTCCCTCAGCCAGGGCATTGAAAATGGGTCGTGGATGGGTATTCCAGCATGCCTAATGACCCAAAACACACGGCCAAGGCAACAAAGGAGTGGCTCAAGAAGAAGCACATTAAGGTCCTGGAGTGGCCTAGCCAGTCTCCAGACCTTAATCCCATAGAAAATCTGTGGAGGGAGCTGAAGGTTCGAGTTGCCAAACGTCAGCCTCGAAACCTTAATGACTTGGAGAAAATCTGCAAAGAGGAGTGGGACAAAATCCCTCCTGAGATGTGTGCAACTACAAGAAACGTCTGACCTCTGTGATTGCCAACAAGGGTTTTGCCACCAAGTGCTAAGTCATGTTTTGCAGAGGGGTCAAATACTTATTTTTTTCATTAAATAGCAAATCAATTTATAACATTTTTGACATGCGTTTTTCTGGATTTTGTTGTTGTTATTCTGTCTCTCACTGTTCAAATAAACTTACCATTAAAATTATAGACTGATCATTTCTTTGTCAGTGGGCAAACGTACAAAATCAGCAGGGGATCAAATACTTTTTACCCTCACCGTTCCTTGAGAGAGGCTAGATCTAGGGGAAAAGTCACAAGGGGCACACCAGGATCCCGCTAGTAGGTTCCAGAAAGGGGGCGTAGGCGGGGGCAGAGCGATGCCAAGCTGACGGTATAAGAGGGGCCCCTGTGAGGGGCCTCGGGGCTGTTGTTGGAGTGGGATCCCCCTCGTGCGTCCATTGTCGCCATTCTGCTCGTTGTCTTCACCATTCTTCTCGTTGTCTTCACCATTCTTCTCGTCGTCAATAAAAGACGGACTAAATATTAAGTGTTTTAATCCCGATGGTGCTCGTTAATAAAGAAGTGCCTCCAAGTCTTATCGTCTCCGAGTTAGTCACTACACATGTGTAATGACTCTCAGACAACTTCTGTCTTCTTTATTAGGGCGTGTCACGCAGATAAAGTACTCTCATATCCTACAGTACTTAGCTATCACTAGCATACAGTGCTTGGGCTAGAATAACAACAGGTACTTGGGCTAGGATAAAGACAGATACTTGAGCTAGGATAACAACAGATACTTGGGCTAGGACAGCACCCAAGCAACGACCGCATGGAGACAGCAACGGCACGGAGACAGCGGCGGCGTAGAGACAGTCCATCCCGGTCCCAGGGCAGCCTCGAGCTCTCTCAGCCTCTGTCTTATATTCCCCCTGGTATGGCCTCGCCCCGCCCTCGGCCACGCCTTCTTTCCCAAACTGTCTCGGACAATTCTGAACATTCCTCCATGGTTCCCTCCTGTAATTATCCCTCGTGAACCACCTGGCCACACACTGTCCCTATCCCCTCATTTTCTCCACCCACGCACCGTCTCTCTTTCCGCACTGTCCCTACACATGGAACAAAATTAGCTTAATCCAGAAAAATTGGAAGTTCTACTGGCTGGCACTTGCGAAATTAATTGTGCGAGGATCAGGTGTGGCATTTGCAGACTCTAGAATTCAGTTTTCTCTGCGTCTAAAGAGCCTCCCGCCAGACTCAACCAGAATGTCGTTTGAGCACGTGCAAAATATGGTCAGGTCCTGCAATTTTCATGCGGCCTCTACGACACATTTGACCACCTTTGAGTCGTGATATAGCCAACACAGTGGTGTGTAACATTGTATCAATAAGGTTTGATTATTGCAACTCACTACCCTACGGGACGTCTGACATAAACATTACCAAGCTGCAGTATGTACAAACTTCTCTAGCACATGTCGTGATGGGTACTGCAAGATCCGACCATGTCTATCCAGTGCTCGCTGAGCTGCATTGGTTTCCGGTTGTTGAACGAATACATAATAAGGTACTCATGACACACAAAGTGCTTGCCACAAAAGAACCACAATACCTTGCTGATCTCGTCAAGGAGCATAAACCACGCGAATCCCGGTCATCCTTGCAGCGGCTTTTGGCTAGCCATCAAACAAAGACAGCCACTGCATCGCACGCTTTCAAATGCGCTTCTGCGGCCGTCTGGAATGCTCTTCTTTCAGATATTAGGAAGCCAGTGAAGCTATGCAATTTTAAATCATCTTGATTGAAAACTAATTTCTTTAGGACTGCTTTTTGTGTTGAGTTGTCCTTCCAATTAGCACGGTTGGCTTCGTACAGTGCGACATACATTGTACACAATACATTTTAGGTAAGGAATAAATAATGCATAAATAGTTTACTTAGCCACTTGCTCAAGTAGTATGCATTCACTCCAAACAAATAGTACTTCCGAAAACAGACCTGTGTTGGAAAGCGCTACAGATCCATATATATATTTTACTTCTATAATGACAACAGATTTCTTAGTATAGCATATTTCATGCTAACTGTCCCTCAGATCACTGCACAATCCGTAAACACCAAGGGGTATTGTTTTCAGTTTATCATTGAGCATTTATATTTTTGGAGGAAACTGGAGGAGCACCTGGAGAAGACCCATGTACGCGAGGGGGAAACGCTATCCAAACAGAGAAGCGACAATTGACATGCGTCCGCTCTTTGCTGTACCGCCTTTTCCTGGCAAGCCAGGATATGGCCCCTAGATGAGCATGGAAAGGGAGTTTAATTTGTGTAATCCTCCAACTCTCGCGTCGTTGAGTATGCATGTGAGAGGAAGCCAAGGGTTAACAAAAAGCATTACTGCACTGCAAGTCCATAGATACGTGCAGCCTTCTCGCTGCACTGCCATCTCCTGGAACATCATTGTCCTTGCAGATAGGTGGCATTACAGCTCTCGGAGAAACGACCAGTCCCGCCTCCACATTGCTAAATTGTAGTGCATGGTGTCTTGTGTGTAATCTTTAGTCAGATTTTGTAATCTCTTTTGAAGCTAAACAGAGTTGGTCCAAATCATTACTGTATAGTATTTAGTTTGGCACGCGTCCAGAAACTATAAGGGCTGCTGCTGTTCAGTGCCATTAAATGTTCAGTAGGGGGCATGCTGTACCCCTGGCCAGCATCACACTGATGGCTCCCCTCAGTGTTGTGGGCTTGCTGTTTTAGGAGCAGCCAGTGGGATTATGATGCTGTAGCAAAGGGCCCGACTCGCAAATAGAATAAGGTTGCAAGTTCAAAATCCCATACAAGAGTTGACTTAGCCTACCAATCCTGTTGAGTTCAATTAAATGAGGTCCCGCTTTGTTGAAAGTTAACAGTCTTATTCTGGACTGACCCTCGTCAATGTAATATCGAATTGCCAACGGAGATAATTACTGCTGCATTGATAATTATTTGAGCAGGGAGACACTAATTTCCCTATTATGAACAGCCAAAAATAAGCATTGTATTTGTACGTATGTTGAATTTCATTGGAACCGTGCAGAGCCAACCGTGCTAATCGGAGGGGAATTAGATACATTAATTCGTCAACGGCTCCTTGCAAAGATGTAGAGCCAGGCTCCTAGTCTGTTTGTCGTGAGAACTCCTCATCCAAACAAGGCAAATGCTATTTTATGAATCCTGCAATAATATATTTCTGATCCATGTCTTCCTTGCCGAGCAGATGAATATCACCTGTTGTGGGGTGCCGACACCCAGCGTGCGGGAGTGAAATAGAGGGGAGCGGGGGAAGCACAGGTGGGGGGAGGATGCATGGGGGGCTCCGTTGGGGGAGGGGTTTGGGGCGCAGTAAGAGGTCCGCGAGGGTGAGAGGTGCAGGTTGGTGGGGTCAAGGGAAGGGTACACGAAGGGGAGCCGTGATTGGGCATGGTGGCCTGTGGGGTTGGGGGCACCCTGCAGGGGTCAGATGGGGGTGGCGGGAGTATCGTTCAGCAATGGGTGCTTCCACCGGTATGTCGACGAAAATATGTGTTCTATATTTAATGTGCATGATATTCAATAAAAAATAGAATGGCCGATTGGCCAACTGACCAGGGCCAACTGGCCAGCCACTTCCAAAGAATGTGTGGGGCTGCTCGTTTACATTAAATGAAAATATTTTTTATTTTAGCCGATCATTTATTCGAGTGTCTACAAGAGTTAAAATAGTCTCGCAACTATTTTACTTTATTTATATATTCAAACGCATGCAGCATTGGACTGTAAACTGATATATAGTAAATATATTCAGAAACACTACTTTATTTGTTATTTTGACTGTTAAAAAGCTTAGTCGTCACCTTTCATACGGAAACGTTTTAAACTTTTAAAAAATCAATGGTATTTCCAGAAAAACATGGAGGAAAAGACTGAAAACCCCCGTTTAAAAACCACATGACTTTAATAAAGTGTTTATGCAATAATTATACACTAACAAAACATATTTTTGTTCCTGAATAGTAAGTGTTATTTTCTAATTGCTTATGCCTTAAGAGTACAGAAAATGGCTATTATTCCCCACAAACTTTGCTTTTGTGACCAGGACAGTGATATTTGAAATTTACCTATTTTCAATGAGAAAACGTGTGCATTTGTGTCATTCCTTCACGTAAAGTCCTGGTCACAAAAGCAAAGTTCGTGGGGAATAATAGCCATTTTCTATACTTTTGAGGCATAAGCAATTAGAAAACACTTCCTACCCAGGAACAAAAATCGTGTTACATATTAATTATCTGCACGTATACGGCGTATGTACCGCTTTTAAGCAGGAATACATCATCCAAAAGAATAACTTCTCCACCTCCCATAAACATGACTCATTGGGATTTTTTTTAATTACCTGGCAGCACTTGGCTCATTGCTGTCAACCTATCAGAGTGGGTGATAAAAAAAAATACCCAGCAGTGCCAAGGCCCTATAAGTTAACCTTTGTTGCTTCTCAGCAAGAGCCATACAGCACAGGTGTGTGTGTCTGCTATGTACACACGCTTTCTGATAGCGCTTATAACACTTACATCTTCCACTTTGCTCAAGCCATGGAGGGGAACGCAGCTCGCAACAGCACATCAGTGGGCCCTGGCCTGCTGGAGTCTGGTTACGGCTCTGGTGAAAATGCCCCTCGCGAATATTCGGTGAGTCTGCAGTTTAAAACAATGTGGGGGTCCTGACCCTCCCCCCCCCCCCCCCCCCCAAGTTCAGTAATTATTTCAGTGATGTCTGCCCCTGTGTTTCTCGATTTAATGGATTTCACATCGGGTGTAAGCAACAAAGTTATTGTGCATTAGTCGACAGTGTCCCCTATGGTAAAACAAGTGGCGTATAGCGAAGCGCTTCATGTCTTTTCATGCTCCCGAGTCATTTCTTGAAGGTCCACATTCCTGTGGTTGGAGCAGTTCCATAGGACTTGTGAATCGAGCTGAATAACCATAACTCGGTATAGTCGTGTAACAAGTGCATTATGAGTGCTATTAGCAAATCGACAACATGGTTTGCTTACTCATGTTTCATTTGAAATGTGCATGCTGCCTTTACACACCTGTGTGTTGAGCAAAGGTAGGCAGTGCGTACAGGCACTCGCTAATGATTAGTTAACCAACCAGCTTGACAATTTGACTCTTGTTAGCTTAGAAGTCACGTGACCCACTATACATTATGTAACCACCTATACAGAGCCTTAAAGGGGAATTCACCTAAATACATTTTACAAACAGTGATGAATGTTCATTCATTCATAGTTTTGAAGTGAAAGCAGAACTCGCATGTATGATTTGGGTTTTTTCTCCAAGAGGGGCTTCTCCAGAGATTATTGAAGCCAGTTTCTAACCGAGAGTAGTAACTTATTCTTATATTCCTTTACAATTCATAGCTTTGATATTTATATACAAACTTTGAAGGTATTTTCTTGCTGTCATTTATATGTATGGGCAATCTCCTCGGGTTACGAACCTAATTCATTCCTGAGACCCGTACGTAAGTCGGAACACAATACAATGTATTTAAACACCCGTACGTTAAGTATTGTTGAATGTGTTCGGGTTCAACAAAAGGGAAGCATTGTTAAACTCATTAAAAATCAAATGTGCACATTTGCATGTAACATTTACTTTCACTTATGAGTTCTGATGCTAGCTTGTAGGAGGGGGGGGGGGCAATGAGTCACCACAATTGCAGACACACCTCAATGACAGCGATTCCCCATATGGCCTTAACAGGCTGTTGGGGCAAGTGCTGTTACTGAGCAGCACCTATGAAGGCCGGAACGGCATAGGAAGGGGTGAGTGGCCAGCACCACCCCTGCTCCCTTTGTTTCCCCAGAGGTGGTATTTACACACTGCACCAGGTGATGTTTACACACTGCACCAGGCACGAGCCTGAGATGACCAAGGGGAAGCCCAGGTCCAATTCAGATAATCATCACTGGTGTTGATCGTGAGTGGGAATTTAACTTTGGTCGCCGCGGTAGCATAGCATGCTAACCGTTGCACTACCGCTCCCTCCACACGCACACACACAAAGACAACAACCTCCCATATTGCCTTAACAGACTGTTGGGGAAAGGGCTGTTAGCGAGTAGCAAATACTATCAAGGCTGGAACAGTGCACGAGGGGGTGGTTGGCCAGCTCCACGCCCGACCACCTTTATCTCTAGTGATGACGATTACACACCGCGCTCAGTACTCATTTGAGGCTGAGTCGACCTAGGTAGGCTCAGGACCGGCTCAGATAATCGTCACTGGTGTTGGCCGTGAGAAAAACTCAAACTCGAGTTGCCGCTTTCGTAGCGCAGCGCGCTTACCGCGAGAACTAGTGTGGCACATTAGGAATGGACCACTCTTTTAATTATTTCCTTGTGCAGCAGGGGAGTAAAGTGTGGTTCTGTGAAAGTCCTGGTGTGCTGTGTAGTACATCGATGCATGTGTGTACACCAGCATGCGATAACGGATTTGGGCCTGTAGGGGGCTGGCAGGGTTATTGATTGACCGCACTTGTACACCAGTCACAGGGTTAATGGCGACTCAGTTGAAGAATTGCTGTTTGACACACGTGCTGTTGCATCTTACAGGTAAAAGACCCAAAGGTTGTTTTTGATCGTTATATAAATGTTCTTGACTTGTTCTAGACTTCCAGCTTGGCTTTAAATTGTTAGGTTGTGATATATTCCATTGGAGGGGTTTTAGCACTGTGCATTGTAAAGGATGACTCATTGTAATTACATACTGTAATTGTAATTCTCTAACCATAATACTGTTTATTCTATAACCATGCCCATGCACCCAGAGTGTGACTACTTGCAATGCTATTGAGAATAGAACACATGCATAGTCGTAAGTGGTACAATGGTGACATACAGTACGTGTAGTGTACACATACAGTACAGATAATGGGTATAAGATACCGATATAAGTGGATGGTATAGATAGACATACAGCTTAGGATTAAAGTAATATGCTGACAACCATGAGCCAGCAGTAGAAATTCCACATTCTTTGTCATGGGCATGGATAATGGAGAGTTAACCAGGCCTTCATTTAATCTGAGTCCGGATCAGGGATCCAGAAAATATTTCCACACCAAGCACATCCAGTATACCTCTCGCGATGACCGTGGCTAATAGTGGCTTTTGGCAAACCATCCAACAAAGACGGTCATTGCATTGCACACTTTCAGATGCGCTTCTGCGGCCGTCTGGAACGCTCTTCCGAAATTCGGAAGCCACTGGAGCTATGCACTTTCAAATCTAAGTTGAAAGCTCATTTCTTTAGAACTGCGTTTTGTGCTCAGTTTATTCTTTCTCCGCACCTCCGATTAGTATGGTTGGCTACATACGGTGCAAAAGAAGTTCAACATACAATCATGCCTTCTTTAGTCTACCACCGAGCTGGAAAATTACGAGAAATCAAGCGCTAGATTGAACTGTGTGGTCTCTATGCAGGCAGATTACATGAAAAACCTGAAGCGGTATTCGTCGGTGAAGACCGTGGCACAGAGCTTCCTGGACGTGGCCCTGCTCATGGCAAACGCTTCACAGCTGAAGTCGGTGATGGATTCTGGAACAGAATTCAAGTACTTCAAGCTTCTCCTGGGCATGCTGGCTCTATCCATCTCCCTGCAGATTCTCGTCGGGTTATTCCTCATCTGTATTGGTAAACTCATGCAACCTTTTGTGCTTTTATTTCCAAGTAGATATATAGAACTTTTATCTGTGGTGATGTGGGAGACCAACATTTTGCATCTTATTTTCTGCAGGTTATCTGATTTTATTCCACTAATTAAAATTAGTGTGGATAATCACGTATCATCGGTTACAATTGCCACTCAAAACCTATTCACAAACATATGTGAAGGATAGGTCATTCTGTAAAGGATAGAAAAAGCCGCAGATAATAGGAATATGGTCACGGATATTATAATAGGAGTTTTTGCAGACCCTACAGTTGCCACAGATAATAGAAGTCACTGGTAATAGGGTTGTAATAAGATGAGTTCTCCTGTAGCGGGTGTTATAGAATGATCGACTCTTACGCACACGAATGCCACTTCCATGTCACTGGTTAATATTACTCTATAATTGTGTGTTAATGTTTTAATGTTTCTGTATCTGAATGGGTGGTGTTGGGATTAGAGTAAGTTTAAATTTCACTTTGAGGTCAACTCATCTATTATGGGGACCATGAAGTAATTATACCTTTGTGAAAAGCCAACAGTGTTCACTTATTATTGTAGAAACCAATTACTCCGCAGTAAATCATTCTCAAATTGACAAATGCATGTAAACTGTGGCACGCAGTGGTTATTTTTATGAATCCTATTTACTCAATAGACATGGAACGTATCCCATTAAGAGCTCTTCATTCCGTAATCGATTTTCTTTCCCTTCAGATCCTCGGATTAGTTATCGATACTCTACATGGTTATTCGTTAATGACGCTCAACTGAATCCAGAGCTTTATGAGTTCTGACATCCCGTTTCCACGGGTACTATTTTAGTTTTATATTAAACAACAGAATGCTCCCTCGGTGTAATGGTTAGCACACTGAACTTGAATTCCAGGGGTCGTCTATTCAGTTACCCAAAGGTTAGAAGACCAGAGCCAGAAGACATCACTGCCCCATTGTAACGCAGCACGTTCATAATCACCTTCTAGAAGACAACTCCCTGCAGTACTGCAATCCTGCCAATTATAAGATGCACGCTTTAGGGTGCGACTTATGTTCCGGGCGTCTGATAAAATGTAGAATATAGCAATACGTTTTGACATTTACCAATTTTTTGTCCATGTGCAGATTCCCACGTATCATAGTCCATTCAAATTTTGTAACCACCTCACTGTAAGAACCCTTAACATTTTCTTTAATTCGTTCACTGAGGTATTTGGAATTTTCTATTTACTGTGATTCATATCAGCTATGCAAATGAAAGTGAGCACACAATACTCTTTGACTGCTGTGCTGACCTTGTCAATTCTCACTAGCATTACATTACCCTAAAGTTTGATCGTGCCTGGATATCGTTGTGTGTGATATTGAGTGGTGGCATAGTGTTGCAATCTCAGCATCCTTACCATTTCTGACAATGCATGTGTTACGAAGTTTCAAACACCAAATATACACGTATTAAATGTTGACTCAAAACTTTAGTGACTGCAGGAAATTCATATTCTTTAGTTATTTCGGTAAAGTCACGTAGATATAAAAAGTAATAAAAATAAAGTGAATAAAAATATCACGACGTTTCCATCACAACACAAGCGGTCGTCATCAGGCAAAGGAGTTAGCCTCTAAAGGCAAACTGTTTATAAAGGTTTGGGGATGGGCGTAGCCCAAGTGTATCAGCAGGCACCAGGAGCATGGGCGGTGCACCAATGCCAATGCAGCCACAATGCCAATGCAGCAACAATGCCAATGCAGCAAAGGGCCGCCAAGAAATCTCTGCACCCCACTCCACACACCACACTGCTGACGGTGGAGGTTGATTGACAAGAAAACACAAGTCAAGTCTCGACCCAAAGTGGTTGATGACATCTTTCCAATGATTGTTGAGTCTAACCTTCCTCTCGGTTGAAATTGTTTCTGTATATACGTGTTGTGTAGTAATTCTTGACACCCAGGAGACTTGTAGAACCACATGGAGATGGAACTTCAGGTAAGGGCTCTGTGTACTGCACACTCACTGACTGGTTACCCTTTACACTCGACGCCTACACCCGTTATGGTGCGCGTCAGAACTCTGGCCTGCACGTGGAACTGCTTCCAACTATCTACGCCCCGGTATGGCTTCACTTGCCTACTACCTCGTCTGCCCCGGGCGGGGACTTACCCATCACCGCCCGGCGACGAGGTGAGGCCTCTACCCCTCTAGCCTTTCGTCGTCGGCGGCTGGGGAGTTCCCATGCAGGCTCTCGTTCCTCTTCCCATGGCGGACACTTCACTCTCCCTCCGGCGACCTCGCCCTCGTCCCAGGGTCCCCCTTAAGTACCCCACCGCCTCGATGACATGACATCATCACATCACGTCATACCACTCCTCTCCAGATGACACGACATAATCTCACTACTCTACATATGGATGGCTTCATGAACGAATCTTTGTTGATAGCCAGTAGGCTTGGAAAGTACCATCATCGAGAAATAAATTTCGTGTGAGCCAGCCGCATTAAATAATGATCAGCCACGGCAGAAGTATTGGTCCTACCGTGTTTCAAATCTGCCTTAGGTTCACGAACACGGTCCGAGACATGTCGCTTAGTTTCCCCAATGTAACTGCTGCCACAGTTACAGCTTATTTTGTAGACGCCGAGATGAGATCAGATCACGAATTGTATGTACTTTTTACACTATGAGACCTCCTTTGCCAGTAGCAAGATATAGTAATAGGTTTTTACCCTTTTATCTGGCAACAAAACACACTTTTTTACAAGGAATCATGTTTGCATTAACCATAACACTTGCGGTCAAAATGCAAACAAAAAGACAACTGATAATGGATGCACTGTCCTTGAAATTGATTGGTCCACACCTTTGTAAAAATGTGTCAGTTTTGTTGCCAGATAAAAGGGTAAAAACCTATTACTATATCTTGCTACTGGCAAAGGAGGTATCATGGTGTAAATGCTTCACCCCGAGCTCTCAATACTCTGATGGTGCGTTGTCTTTGAGTTGTGCGCCTTTTGGCGTCATCTGGTCCAACACCATGTGAGACTGGACTCTAAAAAAAGCTGTCTCGGGTGTGGACCAATCAATTTCAAGGACAGTTTGTCCATTATCAGAGTTGTCTTTATATTTGCGTTTTGACCGCAAGTGTTGTGCTTAATGCAAACATAATCCCTTGTAAAAAGGTGTCAGTTTTGTTGCCAGATAAAAGGGTGAAACCCTATTACTGTATGTTCTGTGCTAAATGGGACCTGGATCTTGTGTTTGTTCATGATTTTGGACATATTTTTGGTTACCCCTGCGATGTATGGCAGGGTGTTGGTTTTGATTGGATCCTCAGATGGCTCCTTCCTCACGGTTGGGGTGATGGCTTTGCGGATTGTGTATTCAGACTGTCCATTCGCCTTGAGAGCTTGGTGTACGTGTTTGAGTTCACTGGTTAGGTGTTCATGGACGGAGATGCATTGAGCTCTATGGTGTCGCGTATCTTGTCAACCAAACTCCACCGTCAGCAGTGTGGTGTGTGGAGCGGGGTGCAGGGATTTTTTGGCGGCCCTTTGCTGCATTGGCATTGCTGCTGCGTTGGAATTGTTGCTGCATTGGCATTGCACTTGGGCTACGCCCATCCCCAAACCTTTATAAACAGTTTGACTTTAGAGGCTAACTCCTTTGCCTGATGACGACTGCTTGTGTTGTGATCGAAACGTTGTGATATGTTTATTCACTTTATGTTCATTTTTTCTATCTACGTGACTTTACCGAAAGAACCAAAGAATATAGACACGTATTACCAATCCTGAATTCACCCCACATACTTGTGGTAAAAGATGCAAACAAATAAACTTTGATAATGTATGCATTGTCCTTGAAACTGATTGGTCTACACCAGATACAGTCTATTTTATAGCTGCCAAAAGTTGAACGGTACAAGGACGATGCAAACATCAATCCATTATTAGCTTGGGTTAAGCAGTTATACCTATAGGTAAGAGTTAACACGTTTCTTGAATTGAGAGAGATTATAAGAGCTTGGGGAAAAGAGAGGATGGGAAGGAATTCCAAAGTGGAGCAGTGCGAGGGAAGAGCCAGACTGGGAAGTGTTGTGAACCACATTGTGGTGTTTGAGTCCAGTGTGGATGAGTCAATACAATCAGTCTGCTAGACCTCAACATGGGTGAAGGGAACAATGACAGAAGTTTCAGAGGAACATTAACCATGGTAGTAGTGATAGAAGAGCAATAAGGTGGCAACTGACCACTGATGAGCAAGTATGATCATCATGAGTGCTTTAAAGTATCGTTCGTTTTACTAAATTTCATATTGTGATTATCATCACTCATGTAAAAAATGTTACATATATAATTCGAGTTGTAATTAAATAGCTGTATTATCCATTTAAAAAGTTATTGATTAAATTACACCATCACTTTATTAATAATTTTCTTAATTTTCAGTTTACACCTAGGCTTTCACGACCAGTATTATTCCTAATAGAGTTGTTTTGGGGGAAGGGGGTTGGATGGCGTAAATATAAATGTCTCATTAAACCTGCCACCATACGACCCAGCCAATTAGTAATGTTTGTCACGTAAACAAAATATGCCAATTGGTTACTAGTTCAGCACACCGGTGTGTTGGAGAGTAAACCCACAACATTCACAATTAGAGTACCATGACATTTTGCAAATAATTACAGCTAGCCTCATCAGGCGACAGCCAGAATTGTGGAGAAATCTTCCGGTTTCGGTCATAAATATGGGGGTAAATATGATGTGACTTGTGGCCCAAAAAATTGCAATCCCTATTATTGACCGCTCACAGTTAATCACCATCGACGTATGGTAACCTGTATAGGTATGCAATTAGACAGTGCATTACTTGATAATACGCTTCTAAGCAGCACTAAGCCTGTAGCTATCAGAACGGTTACAATTATTTTTATTTCTCTCAATTTCAATAGATCCTCTAATTAGTCTTGGTCAGTAGTAATTGTAACCGTTGTTATAGCTCATTTCGTATATTGCAGTTAGGGTCACCCCTAGGGTTCTTTCAGGAACTGGTGACCATGGAGACAGATACCAACCTGCAGGGCAGGGAAGTGCGCTGCTTACACCGGGTGCTCTAGGGGGTGTTTTCACCCGAGGAAGTGAAGTTGAGCATCAGTTTCCTCGAATTGAAGGCAAATCGACTGGTCAATATATAACTGGCGGAGTTGAGTGCTGCTGGTGCGTTGCAACGTCACCTCTTTTTTCAATGGACGGAGGCACACCAGATGCGTCTGGTGGCTCCACACCTCGCGGACGTACAGAATCCATTAGTGGACAGGCTCGGTTGCAAGAAACTGGACCCCAGAGAGGGGTCGCTTCACGTTGAGATGTTCAATGAGGTTGCATGTCGGTTCGGGACACCAGACGTCTACTGCTTTGCGTCGAACGCGAACATCCCTGTTCCTCTGTCAGGGACCATGAGCAACGGATGCTCTCAGTTCCTGTGGGAAGGTTGCCTAGGGTACGTCTTTCCCCCGTTCCCTCTAATTCTGCACGTTCTGGCAAAGTTATTCGGAAGTGCAGCCACAGTGGTTCTGATGGCACCCGATTGCCCAAGGAGGTCGTGGTTCTCGGACCTTCTGGCCCTACAGGTAGATCAGGCGTGACGCCTAACCACCCGTCCGGACGTGTTGTCCCAGAGAGGCGCCTGGTGCTGGGTTCTTCGAGAGCTAAACTTGACAGCATGGCTGTTGAGAGGGCGCAGTTTTGGACCCTTGGGCTAAGTGAGTCTGTGCAAGATTTGCTTTTTAAATCTTGGGGTCGGTCAACCTCGCGAGTTTATAACTCTCATTGGTGACAATTCTGTCTCTGGTGTGGGGAACACAAGGTTCACTGGGTCACGTGGTCTAGACTGGGTAGCTCAGTACATGGTTGTCTAAGTGAGTTGCTGTTGACTGTCCAGGTGTTGTTAGATTGTGTGTTACAGGCAGGTTACAGTATTTTCGGATTTGATAGTCATTTTTCTTCTTCTTGGTTTTTTCGGTAAAGTCACGTAGAAGGGAAGTAATAAAATAATAAAAATAAAATTAAATAATTCTCACGACGTTTCGGCTACAACGCAAGCAGCCGTCTTCAGGTGAAGAATGAGACACTGTCAAGCTAGGAACTTATATATAAGCTGGGTTGGAGGTGGAAGAAGAGCGCCTTAACAAAAAGAATGTGCATATCAAGAGGAATTTAGCATATTCATGGGAAATGCGTAGGAGGTGGGCGGGGGGGTTTCAAAGTCATATTATGCCTATGCATTATGCAGGATCAGCAGCACCAAGGGAGGGTGCAGGGAGTAGCATTAACAAAGGAAAAGAATGTTAATAGTATGTGGCTGCAGTTACTAAACAACCACGTAGAAAACTAAAGTATAAACTACATAAAAAACTAAAGTATAAACTGCATAGCATCATCTGTATACTTACTATACTCTACAATAAGCTGAGTTACTAACAGCAAGTAATACATTACAATTCTATGTCGTAAAAATTATATAATATGCTTCCATCTAAACTTTATTCTCTTACATCACACGAGCATACACTGTACTATATACTGCCATAGACAAACCCAACATTAAATTATATACTATGTATTATTCTACCCACCCTAATGTGTATCACACTGCTATATGTTTACTATACAATTACGATACTATATATTACTTTGTACATTGTATTAAGCATATAAATGTTATACTATTTGTTATTATATACTGTACCATTGACCGTCGTGTCAATGGGTGAGCCGTGGGGGGAAAACTTGCAGCGGAGCAAAGAATCCATTCCCTGCGGAGAATACAATGCCAGTGAGTGGAACGCGGTCTGAAAGTCACCGTAAACGTGAACACAATCGGTTAAGATCCGAAATGGTTTATTACGTCCTTCCAATGATTGCTAAGCCAGAATCCATCTTCTCGGTTGAAATTGTCTCTGTGTTTGTATATCTGGATCGCCTCATGAACGAATCTCTCATGATAGCCAGATGGCTTGCAGAGAACCTGTGTCTTGGAGAAGTCAATGTCATGTGAGCCCACTGAGTTGATAGTCATTGAACTGAGTCTGGACAGTCACGTGTGGGGAGTGCGTGGACCACCCACTCCACCCCAAAGGGAGTGGTGTGGGTGTTCCCCCTCCCCCCTGCTCATCACATAGAAATAATACCTCTGTGAGTGCTAAACGTTAAAATAAGCTCAGTGAGAATGTATCGGTTCTCTGCTGCCGAAGTGTAACAAGTTCACTAAGTATAACTCGGAGATGGGATTATACTAAAATCAGGATGAAGGCAAGTCCTTACTGAAATCCTAGTTTTTGTATGCATGGTCTTGGCTGTGCATAATTATGGAATTGTAATACCTACGTGCCCCTTAATGTGTAGTTACAACGTATAGTTCTATATAAACACTGTCGTGATTCATTGTTTTGCACGAGTGAGTGACATGACCCGCACTTGTGTTTGCCCACAGTGATCTCTGACCTGAAAAATGAGAAGCAAAGGCAAAATGGGAGCCGCTCGGACATTCTGAACACCATGGCAACGTCAATAACTTTCCTCATCGTGGTGGTCAACATCTTCATAACAGCATTTGGCACTCATAACTGATGCTGAACACCCTTGGCTGTAGCCATCTCATTAGAATAAAGCAACCATATTTGCTTGTGAAAGCAATCTTTTATAGAAAATTTTAGGCTCCCACTAATCCTTTCTTTGAAAAAAATAGTAATTTCATCCACTCTGTGGTAGCGCAAGTCTGTAGTTGGAAGAGCTGGTGGATATTCTCAATACTTTTTGAGAACCATCTTCGTCACTAATGTTCACTGCTGCAAAGATGTTGCAGCAGTGAGTCTTTCACAACGCTCTTTACTTTTTTTGTAAAAAAAAAATGTTGCCTTTCGCTGTCTGAAAAGAGGAAATATGATGCACATGCATAAAAATACTTAAGCATTTTCAAATGTAACTGTTTTTACTGAATAAATGTTTGTAAAAGTTATGTTATGTTACAATAAATATTTGCTCGAGTTATTTTCATTTATTTCCGTGGTCAATTTTGGTATGTAATGGGTTTCCAGAAATGGAACCCCAATTTATAAAATTGAGCCTTATGGGAAACGAGGGTTAAACTTACGACGGCTCGACTTGCGATCGTCTTCTAGAAACCAATTAGGTCGTCGGTGAGGGGGTCGTCTGCAGGAGGGAAATGCTAAATGTGTAATAACAATTACTACAGTGTGTTTGAATTACGTTTGATGAATATTTTACGACCATGGAAGTGGTGGTGGTGAGGAATTCAAGAGGATGACTCCTCGGGAGATGCACGTGATTTGTAGCAATGCACAATTATAATTTTAGCACTCTGGGAGCACTAGCCACAACACCTTCCCTGATTGCACTCACGTTCTTTTTAATGTACCTCAGTCGACTCGTTTATACATTTTGGTATAAACGAGTAAGTACGTATAATGTAAAAGAAAATGCACAATAGCGAGTTCAGAGCGGGATTACTGCGAGACTGAGGACTAAACGGGCGGCTGAGGAGTGCCTAACCTATTAGGGCAGCTTCAAATGTGTAATGAGCAACTTCCGTGACACGTCATGTAGAGGGTACTTCTTTTATTTCTCACACAGGCCAACCTTATTCTTCTCACTCTGAGATATTAACGTCTCTACTGGCTACACGCACAGCCGATCACTCGGCGTGGTACCACCGCCCTCGGCTACGCCGCTGGCTGGCGGCATGACGAGGATTGCGATGGAAACCCCACAGGAGATCTTCCTTGTGGCCAGATGACTGAGAGAGATGACGGCGAGCAGCGACGCAGTCCGGACCCAAGAATCCACACACGAACCCCAAGCCCCGGGTCCGCTCGCCCTGATATCTCCCTAGGCGTGTCTAGGCACCGCCCACGCCCTATCGTGGAACCTTCGAGCAGGTTCCCGGAGCATCTCGGCCAAACCCCACCTATTACCTTTGCCCCAGATATTGCTCCCTCTCCGATTGGATGTTATCTTAACCGTGCCCGTACCCGTGCTTCCCTTTCCCAGCCAGCAGGTGTCATCATGTCATTACAAATGTAACAATTCTGCGTGCACCTCCCCTGTGTCGGTGGTCTGGCACGATGTACACTCACGAATACCCGAGTATGGCGGGTCACGAATAGGTATTGAGTGCGCATTCTCGCGATTATGCTGAACTCGCGAATCCAGAACTCGCACATCGCGAGGGTTTACAGTATTTGAATACCAGCTCACGTTTGGCGCCTTCCTCCAATCTCCCCCCCCCCCCCCTGCGATTTTGCAACGCGGGGTCACGGCGGAATTTGACCCCCCCCCCCCCCCGTGTGGTTTGCACCCAATCCATTGTGTAGTCGTTATTGGCCGTGTGCGTCTTGCCCTCCACTCATTGAGGACGTCGCCATATTACAGGTAGGAACAACAGTTCCACACTGCCCACCAGGGATTATTTGTCTGTCGTGCTTAGCCACGCCCTCGATTTGTATTTTATAGAGCGCTTCGGGCGGGCTCAGCACCACGTGACGCGCCGCCCCACGCAGCTTGCGCCGCGTGACACGGATCACACGATGCGCTGTCCAACCAAGTTCCTACCTGCCCGCTCCGAAGGAACGTGTTTGTGTTGTGTTTTGTATTATACAAATTAATTAAATGTGTGGATGTTAATGTGTACGGGATAAGATTCACGTTTCCATGTTCTCCAGTGCAGTCGGACATGGGAACCTAACTCCCTTTCCCCCATATAAACAGAGCCTTCGCAAATTATAATTTACCGCAGATTTTCAAAAACGAAACTCTCAGGTTTGTCGAGGCCTTACGATATATCAGTATGTGGGTATAGTGCAAGAGAGTATGTGGGGAGCGGTAGTGTAGCGGTTTGCGCTACGAACTTGGCCACCTGAGTTCGATTCCCGCTCACGGCCAACACCGGTGACAGTTATCTGAACCACTCCTGGGCCTCCTCTAGGTCGACTCAGCCTCAATTGAGTATCTGGTGCGGTGTGTAGTAAACATCGCCACAAGGGAGACAAAGGCGGCCGGGCGTGGTGCTGGCCACCCACCCCCTCGTGTGCCGTTCCGGCCTTCATAGGTGCTCGCTAACAGCACTGCCCCCCAACAGTCTGTTCAGGAAATAAGCGGGGTCTTAGTATCTATGTGTTTGTGTATCTGTGTTTGTGTATCACTGTGTAGAGTACTGTGTACATTGCAGTCGTGTGCAACACGATGGTGTGTGAAGTGGCTTGTGCGGTGGTGTGGTTGTAGTGGTGGTGTGTGTATGTGTGGCTGCAGAAGAGATGGAGCTGATGTGGTACGGGAGGATGTGGAGCTGAGTGGATTTTCCGACGACCGGTACCAGCGATGTCAACATCGGCCTCTGTGGAGGAGACGGCTCGTGAAGGACGCTGCTGCTGGGCAGTTGGAGGCAGTCGCCCTCCAGCAACAACGGAGGGCAGAGGAGCGACGCTCACAACAACGAGCAGAGCGCCGGGCGGCTAAAAAACAGCGAGTTGGCACAGCAGGGAGTACAGGAGGCGCTGCATCTACTGGTCATCTCAGTCAGCCAACACATGGCACCTGCTGGGTCTGTTCCGTGACCTGCCAGCAGCGAGCCTTCACCACTTCACGTGGCCTCAAAGTGCACCTTGCCTGGCACAGGCGCCGTGGTGACTTCACCGTCACCTAGTGGAGAACGGCAGATGTGTGTGAATGTGAGTAGTACAGTGCTTAAAGTCTGCAATGGCATGGCTCGTTAACAAGCTCAATATAAATGACACATCTGTCAACCCCTTATCAGTGCCCTACCTTATTACAGACCAATTCAGACCTTACTGGTCACCCCGTGCCCTTATAAATCTCAACGTTCATCCTACAAAGTCCCATCACAAGGGAGAAACACAAATAGACAAAAACACGTTTTGTCCGTAATGAAACAAAGAATCCCCCGTATAGCCTGTAGCAGATTGTTGAGGCAAGTGCTGTTAGCGAGTACTTGTGAGGACTGGCACGGCACACGTGTGGGTGGGTGGCCAGGCGGACGCCCGACCGCCTTTGTCTCCAGTAGCAACGTTTACACACCGCACCAGGTGCTCATTTGAGGCTGACTCGACAGGACCGTTTCAGATAATCGTCATCAGTGTTGGCCGTGAGCGGGAATCGAACTCGGGTCGCCGGGATCGTAGCGCAAACCGCTGCACGACTGCTCCCCTCACTTTTACACACCCTCACTTTTACACACAAACAGTAGAGTTGATATTCGGTGTATCGTCTCTGTTCAATCCTAGCCCTGTTTAAACAACTGTTGGTCATTTCCGTTAGTTGTCCAGAGCCCCTTGGTATGAATTCCACATTCCTATTGTCAGAACCCAATCTCCCAATAAGACACCCTTTGTTTAAATTCCGCAAATCGACTTGCGTTTGTAGCCGTACAATTTCGCGTGTTGCAGACCGCGTGATGCATTGAGTGACTCGGGGAGTGGAGCCTAAGCCACACACATCCACACGAGGCCATGCCCGGATATCGGCTGTAATATTTATGTTCAGGGGATCTGTTCAAAGCTGTTGCTTGAACCAAAGACTGGGGGATTAAGCAGTGTGTGTGGGCTGATGCGTGTGTGTGTGTCATGGTCGTTGGTGCAGAGATACGAAAGCTACCCTAGAAGCTATGCCTACCAAAACGTGAAAACGCCCAAACTCCTGGAATTCGCACATAAAGCTCAGCTCCCCCGTTGCTGATGCGATACGCATTCAAAACGTGGCAATGCGGCCCTCTCGTGTTAGCTCCTGTAAATTGTCATTTACAGTCGGACACCGCGAGAATTCAATTTTTCCATTTTAAAGCCAGTCGCATTGCCCAGTTAAGGAGACGCCTATTATGCGATGAAGCATCACCAGTATCATCACTAACAGCATCATGATCACTATCATCAATTCCACCACCATATAAACTGTGATCTTCCCCACACAAGAAGAACGCAACACAATTGTCGATACGCATTTTATTTTGTTACCAAATCAGCATTGAAACCACGTCTGCGCCGCAGCCACAACTGCCGCTGTAACTACCGATTCATCCATTTAAAAAAAAACCCAGCATCGTCGCCTCCTGACTTCATGATAGCCCTTTCTGATTTTAATTACCACAGCGGGCACCGATTGTGATTGAATGAACACGGCCCGGCTCCCTCTGTGCAGCGCGCCTTGTGAAGCAGCTACAGTGTGACACTGGCTTCCACCATTCAGTGTGTGATGATGATGTAGATGGGTTTTTTTAAGATATGGCAGCGGCTACACCACATTGACATCACTAGGGAATGCCAAAGCAGCAATTTTGACCGTCACTCTTTTTTTCTGTTGAATAGATCTTGAAACCACTAGAAGGTGTTCGCGGATGTGCTGTGTATTGCTCTCCGATGCTGTTGAAGGTTGTACTGCGTGTTATTCTGCACACTTCACTTCAGGTGCTTGGAGTTTCTTGAAAAACAACACACGTTACAACTCGAAAACACGTCAGGAGAGCTCCAATTGTTCAAACTCCTGTCAGTCCAGAACGCATTGCCGAGATATGAACCTGCAACATAGCAACTGTTTGTTTTTAGGTTGCGGGCCATTTCCATGATATGGACATGAAAGATAAGTGGAATGAAACATTTCTAAAGGAATATTTTATTCCTTTAGACGAAATGACAACCCAATAAAACCAATCACAAGGTGAATATACAGTTATCACAATATCCATGTGTGTACTGTATTTCATCGAGCTGATGAAATACACTTGTGTATGAAGAAAAAATATTTTGCGCTCATTAAAGTGCACTTCCTTAACGAAGGAAGTTATGACTTTCTTCCAACAGCAAAAGAGAATAACCCCAGTTCCTTTATATACTCTACAATAAAAGTCACACCTCAGCAGTATGCAAAGGTTCCTTCTGATACTGTAATTCGCATTATCTCTGTACCACACTCCAAGAAATATCCAAACAACAGTTGCCAAAAATATTACATCAAAGCTGGATTCAGCACCCTTCAAAACTGCCAAATGCAATCCTTCATGGCACAAGGTTTTATAATGAAAACATTTTAAAATACAGTGCCTCAATTTTGTGCAGCCCACAATCAGAATAGTTTTTTCTAAAAGGTGTAATCTCGACAATTTGTGTGTACAATGCCAGCTCTATATGACTAGAATTCACTCCATGGCCAGCTGGGACTTGACTTTCCCTCATTCAGGCTTGCCAGTGTGGATGTTTGCCACCCAACTTTAGAGTCCGATTTTACATTTAAATCACATACGTATGTTGAACGTCGTTTGCACCGTACGTAGCCAACCGTGCTAATCAGAGGTGTGGGGGAAGGACAAGCTAAATACAAAAAAACAGTTAATAGGTTAATCAATATCCACTGTGTAGAAATGCGTACAGTGTAATTAAACTATGCGTGTCTTTATTTGTGACTACGGTAACTTGTCTAACAAGCCTGGTGGGAGCGGGTATCCAAAAAGCAAGTAGTCCACGTAATAGGTTTTATAAAGAGCTTCTTGCATTTCTGGTGGCAGCTGGGCCAAGTAGCGCTGAGTAATATTTTCAAATGATTCGGCAGTGACCGTCGAAGGATAAGTTAAGTCTTTCGGGGCGTTTACTAAAGACAGTAATTCAGCCGCGTCACTCTGCAAGGTTTCCAGCTTGCCAATGAAGGTATAGCGCACGAGGCATGGGTTACAGACACGGTGATAGGGCCTCCAGTGCCAGTCAATGTCTTGTTGGCCCGTCGTGTTCAGGAGAAACTGCACAAACTCTTGAAATGTGACGCCTTGACCCGTTCTTTTCATCGTACCCCCAAAGGAGTCCTGCGCGCACGGCACAAAGGGGGTGAGAATGAAGTAGGGAGAGACGGGCGTGCAAACACCGACCGTGGGTCATTTTACGATAATGTCCACGTTATTTTAATTAAAATTTCAGTAGCTTCTAACGGGTGATTAAAAAAATAAGATACGACCGTAGGTTTAGTAGGCAGCAGCATCAAACGTAGGATAAGCAGGCAATGATTCGAATTCAGGGTATTTGAGAAAAGGTAATTTTCCTTTAACAGTTCAAAACTTCCCTTTTTTAATCAAAACATTTGCATCGGGTCGAAATTTAAGATGCAGTACTTGACATGTTTTTTTGCTGTTAAATCGATTATCTGTGAGAATTTAATTAATGAAAAGAACAAAATATCAAGCCATCACAGATTTGCATATTACAGCTACGTGCAATGGGAATTAACGGAAGGACATGTTAAAGGAGCTCAATAAAGAGGGTGACAGAGGTTGGGCTCGGGATAAATGTGAGTAAAAACAAAGGTCATGTACGACAGTTTCACGACGCAGTTTGAAATATCTGTCAGAGGGGACACATTTGGAAAACACAGCTGGACTATATACTCTCTCAGGACAGTTATTGAAAGGAGACTGGTAACAAAACGTTTGATGAATTAAAAGGTGAACGAGAGGAGGCTGGAGTGCTTTTTGGATGCTGAACCTCCACGAAAAGCAATAAACATCAAAATAATGTATAATTGTTTTAATCAGTCATGGGGACTCAGTGGGCTTCCCCTGGAAATAAATTACTGCAGTAATATAGTATTATACGACATGGTTATTTATTTACCACAACCAGTTTATATATACACCAATTATTAGCACCTAACAACAATGTATTATGAAAAAAAAAGTCTTGACTATGTTCACTACGAGGGAAGCCCTTTAAGTGAGCTGCAGTGTTGTCACAGACCGTTGTTTACCTTCTCGAATGAAATCTGTTTTTCCATCATTTCACGGTAGGCAGAGACCACGCGTTCCATGGGATCCCGCACAAACAACATGCTGGTGTAGTTGTACATGCGACTCAGGGCCTCGGAGGAGCTGTGTTCGCTCAGCCGTTTGAGCCCGTTGTCGGTCTGCGATTCGGAGCTCGAAATCTCGTCGGCCGAGGCTGCGTGACCGCTGAGGACCAGAGCGATTTTCTTCCAATGTATGTCCCCCACGTGGGCAATCCCACAGTAGAGCAGGTAGTGACTGTCCACCACGTAAATGTGCTCCAGCATGTCCTTCGTGAAATGCTTTGTTTGCACTGATTTGTGTCCAAGTTTTCCGCACGTTTCACGCAGGATGATCGCCCTCTGCACCTGTGCAAAGCTTTTTGTGGGAATCATCTTGCGAGGCCTGAATCTCGTCTGGTAAACATCTCCATTCCCTGCACTCAGTGCTGAGAAAACCAAACGGATCATGATATTGGATGAAATCGCCTTGTATATGCACCCTCCATAAATACCACTGAAACCCCCCACAACTCCCCACTCCACCGCCTACCACCACGCCACAAGCCAAATAACTGTGTGTAGCCTTCAAAGACTGTTGAGGAAAGTGCTGTTAGCGAGCACTTATGAGGGTCGGCATGGTACACGAGGGGATGGGTGGCCAGCACCACACCCGGCCGTCTTTGTCTCCCCAGTGGCGATGTTTTTATACACCCCGCCATGCTACACACCACCACTCACACTCACCCATCTCCACAAAACCACTCACTTCATCAAACACGAGTGGTCGCCCACCACACTTGCACTCACCGCCACACACCCCCATACAGCCCCCACAATCCTCAAACCATACACCTAGCACCAAGCCACAGCACCGCTCATACTATCAGTGCGTTGTCGATTGTATTGGATTCCGTTTTGTAGCCATTAATTTAGAAAGGTTCATGTGCGTGACCATGCCCATCACTGCATATGTCGAGTGTGCCGTGGCGGGAAGCTATTGAACAATGTTATCACTGTGAGGCGGATCTAGAAACTTCCCGAGAGTGGAGAGTGCCGAAACTTTAAATATTTGTAAACAAGGGGCCGATATAAATAATAATAAACTTAAAGGAAAACCTTGCCAAATGGGGGGGGAGGGGGGAGTTACGTTTATGGGAAATGTCGTGTTGGGCAAAGCCACGTTAGATAAAACATATTCCTGCGAAGGGAGCTGGTAGGAACGTTGGGTTGCTCGGTCAATGGCCAGGGACAAGCCGGCGCGAGTAGGTTAAACTTTGAGTTTTATAAGGGCACCACGGGGTGACCAGCCCCTCCCCACCCAGCCCCACCCCTCCCACCCCCACCCAGCCCCACCCTCCCCCCCACCAAGTCCCTCCCCACCCAGCCCCACCCTCCTCACCCAGCCCCTCCCCACCCAGCCCCTCCTTTCACGACGGACGTACGGACACAAGAATCCCTGTGGGCTGGTGTAACCAGGAGGTTCCTACCAGTATAATAGACCTGATGGGAGAACTAGACTTGCGTTCCTGGGTCCGAAATGATCGGCCCCTCCCTCTTTGTTGAACTCATTCTACGTGATTTTCGCCATTGTTATTGAATGAAAGAATGCGGAGTCACTATCCATTTCTTGTGTTTGTGCGTGCACACAATTCTTTCAATTTCACCCCAACTCAGCATCTCACACCGCGGCACTCGTGCCCAACGTTCGCCCCCTGACACCGTCACTTGAACGTTCGTGATTCGCCATATAGCCCCGGGGTCGACAACCTGTGGCTCCGCAGCTGCATGCGGCGGCTCTTTGGCTTCCCCCTCGCGAATCTTTGGCTGCCCCTTTGCGGGCAGCCGTTTTTTTTTAACTTAAATCCTAAATATAATTGAACGTTTAGATAATTGATTAAGTATGGTGGGTAATGGGTCGCAATGGAATGTCTTGTTGACGACAAAATTTACAACAGTCAAACTGTATTGTTAAAGAAGGACTAAGGGGGAAATAAACTAAATAGACGGAGTTTATTTATTTTTTAAATCCTTTATATTAAGTTCACTTGCTTGCTTGCGCGCTTACGACCGTGCAAATCTTTCGGTCGTTTTTTAACCCACTTCCCGTGATCCAATCGAGCTGACATTTTGCACACAGACTCGTTGTGCGTGACAATTTATTTTCGTGAAAAATTTTACACTTTTTAGAATTTTTTTTTATATTTAATTACCAATTGCTTAATGGTGGCAGGCAATCATCTGACCCATAGGTGGCAGCCATCTCAAGCCAGAGGACGAGAGGACTCTATCCGCCACGCATATAAAGGATTTATAGTGAAAAACTTTGTTTTTACGGGTTAATTTTTTGGTTCTTTCGGTAAAGTCACTTAGAAAATATAATCAAGTAATAGAATACGACGTTTCGGTTGCAACACAAGCAACCATCATCAAGTAAGAATGAATGATAAAACACAGACACGGGAACAGCATAGGCAGACACATGCAGAGAGAGACACACAGATACACACCGAGCGAGACACACACCAAGACAAACAGAAGGACAACGGAATCTCTGCCGATGCATTAAATAGAGAGAGGAGGAGGGGCCGGGGCAGAGAGAGGACTGGGGAGGCGGGACCAGCTGACAGACGAGGGGACAAGGAGAGAGCAGTGTGGAATTCCGGACCACAGTGGCCGGAGGAGAGAATGGTTTAGAGCAAGAAAATTGAAAGTTTGAGAAAGCAAATTTAGTAAAAATAAGAAGTGTAACGTAATGCAACACATGTGTTGCATTGCATTATACTTATAAAATTACACTTATGTTTGTCTTGGTGTGTCTCTCTCTGCATGTGTCTGCCTATACTGTTCCCGTGTCTGTGCTTTATCATTCATTCTTACCTGATGATGGTTGCTTGTGTTGCAACCGAAACGTCGTATTCTATTATTTGATTATATTTTTTACGTGACTTTACCGAAAGAACCAAAGATTAATTCCTGCAGTCACGAAAGCTTCGAATAAAGTTTGGAGTTTATTGTTTATTTAAGTCAGAATTTTTCATCTGCTGTATACCTGCTGCTGTGTTTGTGTACAAGTAGCTCCGTGTGTGTGATGGCGGCTCTCGAACTATTTTGGTCAAAGACAAAAAACAATTATCTTCTTCTTTGAAAGGTGGCCAACTCCTGGTGTAGCTAAACATCACCTTCCATGTTCTGGAAAATAGACCTCATTGAGTAAACCGTGCGTGGCCGAAACACGCAATCAATATAACCGCGTTCGGTGAGGTTTTCCTGTTAAAAAATGAATATTAAATGTATTGTCTTTGGTAAATATCAATACTGTACCAATTTCCTGTATCTCCAGAGGAGGGGGTCACGATCTCCCACAATTTGCTTGCACCTTGGATTTGCTACATTTGTTTGCTTTTGATAAACTTGCTATAGATTGTAAATTATTTTACTTCGCATTTAACTGTAAGTCACACAATTATATGACCACGTCCACCACCTCTCAAAATCCGCACGCGCAACCAATATTTTGGGGAAAACGATGCCTTTTAACGATTACAAAAACTCCACACATTCAGTCAAAAACACTGCTTTACAGACATTGCCACTCCTGTTAGGCGCCAAAACATTGACTGTTTATTGTGTGTTATATTTACAATATAGATTAGGTGGGGTGAAACCCTTAAGTGTTCTCTATATATCAACGTAGGCACAGCTCCGATGGCATAATATTAAGCTACCTGTGGAGATAATCCGTCTTGCAAACAGGACGATGTGGTGAGCTTATGATGACAAATGGTTGTAAATACCACCAGTGCTGGTTACCTTTGAGGCTTTGCTGGCTGGACAGCATGTGATACTTCAGGTATATGTAGAAGAGTACAAGGCCTCCGAGCATCACGATGCACGAAAAGGAGCGTGTTCGTTTCATGTTGCCGCTACCTATAGGGCACACATTTACTCGACGTTAAAACATTTACCTTCGATGTATTCTCGCATGAAATATACACAATACTGGGGGAGGGGGGGAAGCTCTGACGCATCAGTTAGTGGACGCCACGACCTGAGTTTAACTTTCACCCATGGCAGCTGTAGGGTTCGCAAAAAACTCCGTTCATCCATGGCCCCTATATTTTCCTCGTCGTCTGATTATCGGCAACTTTTCCTATACATCTGTGCGAAACGGCATCCTAGTATCCACAATTTTAGTTTGCCGACAAAAGAGCAATCAACGTGGCAAGTTCATCACCATGTCCGTAGCGGTTGTCCACGATATTTCGCCCCCGCATGCAGATCAGAGAAATAAAATTGTGGATAACCACGCGTCTAAGAGTATTATATGCGATATTGGGGCTCCAATATCACCATGGAAAAGAGGAGTTATTATGTGTGCTCGTGTTCTGCTAGGCATGGAACATCGCGTATCACTTTTTTGGGGAGAAGTCTTATTTTTCCCTGGTTAGTCAATGTTTTAGGTTTTACCCTTTCTGGCAAGAAACAGGTGTTAAGATGTTCAAACACCAAATAGATACCTTTTGCCAGGCATAAAGTCTGCATTTAGCACACATACTTGTGGCAAAATATACAAACAAACATGTTCTGAAACGATATAAATTGTCTTTGAAACTGATTGGCCTACACCAGAGACAGCCTTCCGTATGGCCTTGTCTCACCACCAGTGTCAGTCCAGACAACGCCAACAGGCGAACAGTATAAAGACAATGCACGTATCAGAGCACTTATAGCTTTGGTTGAGCAACTATGTCATGGGACATTTTTCATGCTTTGATACTGGCAGAAAAGGTCCCAAGATATAGTAGATGTTTTGTTAAACTTTATTTCTGCTTTGGCATTCGACCGTTAACTACCTCGCCTGGTTTCCAGCAGGTCGTGGGTACGATCCCGACCCTGACGCCTGCATATTTGGAGTTTGTGCGTCTCCCAGTGGTCGCGTGGATTTTTTTCCAGGTCCTCCAGTTTTTCCCTCCACATTCAGAATCAACGTGCGTTTAGAGTATTTGGCTGCAATACATTTGCACGCGATAAGCCACTCCGTTGATATATCATTTGCGATCAGGTAGCTTTAAAAAAAGAGCTATATAGCTCAGTGAGCCTTACCTGGTAAAATAAAAAAAAAAGTTTAATAGTTTAGTTACGGCAGGGAGATTTACGTTCCGTGTTGATGTTAGAGGTTGATGAGCCAGTCGAGAGCTATTGGGAAGTGATGCTGTGAGTATTTGAGGTGAATGACTGAAGCCCCCGCGGTGTTGTTCAGTGGTTTTGGCTTGATAAAGTTGGCCCATTTTCATACTGTGAAAACACTGCACCGTTAACCAACAGAATAAATCACACTCCCATCTGCAAAGTACGCGTGTGTGGACACATAATAACAATAGAGAGTGATATGTCATGGGGTGAAAATGCACAATTACAAAAACTCAGTCATCTGAACATCATATGATGTCCATACCCATTTACAAATTAATGAAGGGAGAAGATAAGATGATGTCTCAGGTTTAAGTGCCTTTACAACAACACAGTACAGCATCTGAGCTGCAGATGCATTTCAAGAGGCTGCGATCTCGAGAAGCTACACACGGTGGTGAGATGTTATCTTCCTTGGCTGGTATACAAGAGATCGTGGGTTCAATCATCATCATGACGCCACGTGATAAGCCACTTTGTTGAGCTATCATTTATGGCCAGGTCACTTCTGAAAAATAGCTACAGTATTCCCTCTTTATTCACGGGGGATATGTTCCGGAGATCCTCGTGAATAGAACATTTCGTGGATAATGACATTGGCCTACGAAAATATTTTTTTTATTAATTCCCTTAAATAAATACATACGCAGGTAAATAAATGACATTTATAATAACACAAAAAATGGTTACAATAACTAAAAAGTAAATACAAATAAGTATTACATGATTAAATAATAGTTTATAAATGCAGTCGTGTAGAGTTCCAGATGTGATTCGCGGACAGCCAAAATCACGGACAGCAAGTTCGTGAATAATAAGGGAATACATTACTGTGTACAGCTCGGTGGGCTTTACCTGGTACAATAATGTGTATTTGCAAGTGACGAGCACGCACCACCCATCATGGCCAGGTAACTCACGGACCGATCCCAAGTACTCAACGGGGAGTCGTGCGCACTTGGACTCAACGCAGGGGGCAGCCAGCCTCGATGAAAATAACACAACACGAGATGTTGATCTCACCCTCGTAAGGGCCCAATATGGTAAAAAATAAATTAAAGGCTATATCAACATGACCTATTAAGGATGTTGACCGAAAGAATAACTATGATGCTGCTGTTTAGACGGCATTGAAGCGCACAACAAATGCTTGGTAGAAGGATTAATGGAGTAAAAGCCGGTATAAGCCAACAAACAAATATATGCAATAAAAGACACATTCTGCTGGTATGCTTGCAAAGGTCATTAAACAAATTGTTTACAAATATCACATTGCACTGGAATGACCTTCAGTGCATTACTCCTTATGAGGAAATTATTGTGAGAACGTATGGGTTAATTTGTAGTATCTATGTACGATACTGTGTATTGAACTTCTTTCACACAGTACGTAGCCAGTGTGCATATAAAAAGCATACACGTTTATACAAGCTGTGTATATGTGTGTACGCTGGCAACGTCTTACTTGAGGCATCTAACAATGCATGTATTCATCAATGTAACTCATTTATTATATTCAGAATACACGCACCGGACCGTGTACTCCTGTATGTGTAGGATTGATTATCTTCTATTGTATTAATTTCTGTTGTATTTAATGCGTTTAGCACAGCCAATAGAGGTGCTGCATGATTGTTGAATCCTCCCAATCCCGAATTGGGAGAATCCATCACATATTGAGTCAGACACATGTTTACATTCCTTATATTAGGTCTGAATTGATTAATCAATTGAATTGATTGAAATGTGTTCTTAGAATTGTAATAAAAGACTCGGACGCTTCTCTCTGTCCTGTGTCCTTTATTTGGATTCGATCTCTTTTCCCTCACGGCACTCCCCTTTACTCTTCGCTCTGCAGCCCCAGGCTGCTATCGCTCACGTAGCCCACTTCACAGCACTCCCCTATATACTCTTCGCTCTGCAGCCCCAGGCTGCTGTCGCTCACATAGCCCACTTCCCTCCTTGCAGACCCGCTGCTGTCTCGTCGCGCAGACCCCCGCTGCCGAACTCCACCCTTGCAGACCCGCTGCTCTCTCTGCAGTCTCCTCGCTGCTCCTCCAGCCCCGGGGTCGGTCACCGTTGGCCGACGGTGCCGATCCTCGGGGTGTGTGTGTGTGTGGCGATCTCGCCACTCTCTCTCTTCCCCACTCCGCCCTGCGTGGCCTCACACCTTCCCAGTCTCCGATCACCCCCTACTGCTTCCGGTTTCTCCCCTTATAGACCTGAACCCTCTCCCCCACGTGACGTAACTCCTCCCCCCATGACGTCACCTCCGGAAGGTCGTCCACACCGGCATTACACCACCCTCCCCCGTAGAAAGCGTAAGCTGGACTCACGGGCTCTGGTGGGATGTTCAAGAGATGAAATATTACATCAGAAATAATGGTCGCGGACGCTCCAGAATCTACCAAAATCCGTACGTCCACCCCTTGTATCGACCCAAGTATGGTGGACGAACCGGTACCGGCCGCGACAACCCGCCGAGCCAGCTTACGCCACTGCGTCACCGAGCGACAAGGCGCAGTCAATGGCCTCCCGTTCTCAACAACACCCGGATCGCATGACAACGGTGATGAATGAGGTGTCAAGCCTTGCCGGGTGTCTGGTGCGCACCGACTTGCCTGTGCTGGCGAATCCGTTCTTGGAGCGGCCGCAGGCGAGGCCTCCTGCTGGGGCGGACCCGGAACGCGGGCCCAGCAGTCCCGAGCATAATGGCCCTTAGGCCCGCAGCGGAAACAGTCGATGTCGTTACGGCGCGCTGCGGACGCCCCGTCCCGACGCGGCCGTGTCGGCGGCGCAGCCCGTGGCCCCGGCCCCCCTCGGCCTGTCCACGGAGCCGCAGCAGCCGACAGCTCCTGCGGGCCCCTGTCGTCTGGCACATAAACTGCCTTTTTAAGGTCCCAACCCAAGGCTCCCCCTTCGACGATAGGCCCCCCCGTCCACGCCGTAACCTGCTTCCACCGGCGCAGGTTGAACTGGGCATCTAGACATTTAGCCGCAGCCCGGGAGGTGAGCTTCTCATGACCACACACCGGCATAGGAATGCCGAGATCCCGGGACAGCTCCAGCATCTTCCCCAGGATGAGAGGTTCCAGCAGGTCAGGCTCCGTCTCCGGGTATGCAGCCATAGCCAGTTCCAGCACCGCGCCCCTATACGCCACCGGAGACTCCTCGGGCGTGCGCTGTCGTTGCACAAACCGGCGATGAGCATCGTCCGGTGGCTCGTAAGCGTCAGCCATTTCGTCGAATACACCTCGCAACGTTTTCTTCTTCGAGGCTTTCATCGAGCGAAAGAATCTAACAGACTCGTCATCGAGAAGAGTCGGAAGAACTTCTAATGCCTCGGCGTCAGTCCACCTCGCCGTGCGTACCGCTGCTAAAAATCTGCAGGCGAACGCACTCCAATCTCCCCCGATGGAGAATTCTTTTATAGTCGTCAAGTGACGACTGCGACCTCTTGGCGCGCTCCCTCCAGCCGCTGACTCATCGGGTGGCAGATTCAACATGGCGTCGCAACGTGGTGTCGACAAGATGGCGGCCTTACGCCGCGAAGGGCCCAAAATGGCGGCTTCCCGCCTTTCCTCGTGCGCCACGCCCAAGATGGCGTCCTCACGCCGCGTGGCTGATGGCGTCGACAGCGAAGACAACCCGGGCTCCTGCGGACCACCAACATCTTCTCTAGACGCCGTTCTCGGCGTGACGAGCTTACACAACTGTGCAAGTACGTTCTTGAGAGTTTCAAGTTGCTCCGCCATCTGACTCCATCTTAAATCCACGTCCTTTGGTGCAGACGGGTCCGCCGACGCGACGACCTCTTGGACCCCCGGACCAGCACTCGTCCCAGCACGGATCTCCTCCTCTGCCGGAGTCAGGTCCACCGTAGGAGGAAGGTCTTCGTCGTCAGAAGAAGAAGCCGAAGCCGGAGACGGAATATTTTTTTTTCTCAGTTGTTTTGCCATGCCGTTACACTTCCAACACCAGTGTAATAAAAGACTCGGACGCTTCTCTCTGTCCTGTGTCCTTTATTTGGGTTCGATCTCTTTTCCCTCACGGCACTCCCCTTTACTCTTCGCTCTGCAGCCCCAGGCTGCTATCGCTCACGTAGCCCACTTCACAGCACTCCCCTATATACTCTTCGCTCTGCAGCCCCAGGCTGCTGTCGCTCACATAGCCCACTTCCCTCCTTGTAGACCCGCTGCTGTCTCGTCGCGCAGACCCCCGCTGCCGAACTCCACCCTTGCAGACCCGCTGCTCTCTCTGCAGTCTCCTCGCTGCTCCTCCAGCCCCGGGGTCGGTCACCGTTGGCCGACGGTGCCGATCCTCGGGGTGTGTGTGTGTGTGTGGCGATCTCGCCACTCTCTCTCTTCCCCACTCCGCCCTGCGTGGACTCACACCTTCCCAGTCTCCGATCACCCCCTACTGCTTCCGGTTTCTCCCCTTATAGACCTGAACCCTCTCCCCCACGTGACGTAACTCCTCCCCCCATGACGTCACCTCCGGAAGGTCGTCCACGCCCGCATTACAGAATGATGAGCATCAATCATTTATGATCATGCAAATGTTAACTTCAGGCTAAATTCATCGAAACAAGCAGAGATAAAAATGAGACATCCAGACTGAAATTGGATTGATTCGTGAGTTTAAAATGGTAATGCAAAATAATGCCAATTCCTGGAACCTTGGATAGGGGAGAATGTTTGTTGGATATAAGTTAGGGTTGCTTCTAAAATATTAATATATATTTTGCTTATTTGGCCAGCCAATAGTGACTGTTACCCAAGGTAAATAAGACATACAACGAATAGTGGCTGCGGTATCAATTTTCGTGATGTCATCGGAGGATACACAATTTAACCCTGTGATATCAGTTTCCCGTAACTTTGCAATGATATTTTATTTGTTTTGTAAAGATGTACTTTGCGCTACTTCAAGTGGTTGTTGACTCAACATAAGCATGCCACGAGTCTTCTAAAGAAATGTAACAATTTATAAGCATTATAAATGCTCATTTCTGTAATTTAAACTAAATAATTAAATATAAAGATGATGTCATGATGTCAATTACTCCAACAAACCTTTAAGCAAAGCGCTAATTTCACGGATAATTGCTATTTCATGTGCAACTTTTAATCGGTGAGTTTAATATTTTCCACGTATATTTTATCAGGAAATTCAAAGTCAAATTAATAAAATGAACAGCAATAACCTCAATAGAGCGACATTTTGCAAAAGAGCCGATAGTCGTCGTGGAACTAATGTCATACAATAATCGTGGATCTTATTTCATACGATTATCATGAAGCGTATATTGTACGATTATCGTGGATCTTATGTCGTGTGATTATCGAGAGCCGTATATCGTACAATTATCGTAGATCTTATATTGTGCGATTATCGTGGATCATATATTGAACACTTATCGTGGATGTCATTTTGTACGGTTATGGATGTTATTTCATACGATTATCGTGGATCATATCGTACGATTATCGTGGAGATAATATGTTACATTGTCACATTATTGCAGCAACTCTCTAGAGCAGGG